GCCCTCTGCAGGCACGCTAGTAAGTAATAGTTTGGCCTTTCCGTAATAATCCCTAGATGTCGTTCCCCTCCGCACCAGGGAACTGAGGCTGTAAGTTGAAAAAACCCGCTGAAATAAATGAAATTCCCCGCATTTAACATGTGCCATAATCAGTGCGGTCTGTCTGAGAGTTCATATTAGGTGCAAGTTTTGAAAGTCTTGCACAGGAGGCATACGGAGTTTTTATAGAGAGAATAAGCCCCTGTGAATGCAGAAAGCTCTGAAGCTGTGTTCTTCCAGTGAGAAAGAGGTTTGTTAACAGGAACTCATGAGTTTTAATTTTGTTTTTTCTTCTTGGTGCCTTTTTTCATATCAGAGCCTGAGTAACTTATTAGTTGCCTGTTTGCCAGAAGGTCGAATTAAGCAACAAGTGCCTTCACTAAGACACATTTTAGTGAAAGTTATTTCTCTTTTCAATAGTTCTGTCCAAACTGACAGTCCAGAGCCCTGCCCATGCATATGTTTCTCTTGTATTGTGGCTGTCAATGAGCTTTCCTCATGCTGACTTGCTCAGAAAGGATCTTCTTGTTCTTGCATAGTACCTAATGCTGTGGTCCTAATTCCCTCTAGACGAATAAAACACGTTGCTAAGATTTTTTTTTTTTTTCCAGTAGTGGAAATCATGGAAGGAAGAACTTCAGCATCTTCAGGTCACATCAGTGTAAGTTTTCTTAAAATTTTCAGCAAAATTGCTTGAAGAGTATGGATATCCTAGGGTATCCTGGTGTATTTGTGTAACTGAATTTATTCTCCAGTGATCCAACTTAAAAATCATTGCAGCACTCTTTCCTGAGAACTAGTTTATTCTAGTAGCAGTGCAGTGAGTAGTAATGTCTGTTACTGAATGTAGTTAAGATAGTTAAGGGTATGTTAAACCCTAAGCTAGAATCTAAAATATTAATGCTCAAGTAAATATGTGTGTGTTTTATGTGTAGTTAGTGCACAGTTCTGTAATAAAGTCTACAAGCTGTTAGCATAGTCTGTTTTTAAGGTTCTGTAACTGTAGCTATTGCTTTAGTAGAACAGCTGCATAACTGGAATATTCAGCTATCTAAAAAGATGTGTTCAGAAACTCTTTATGCTAATGTTTATTCTTCCTAAAACATCCTTATTATTAGTAGTTTCTAGCAATGGAAGCACCAGTGAAAACAAAGATTGTAGGCATAGCAGCTGGTTTGATTGAGTAAGGTCTGAACCGTCTGGTATTTTAGAAATAAGCTGTTTCCAGATCCTTGGTTACACACTCCCTCTGACCCTTGCTTCTGAGGCTGGAAAGCTTTGGGAAAATATTGCTGGTGTAGCTAAGGAATTTGCTAAGTATGTGTGCATAAGTATATGTTCATTCAGTTGCTCTCTATTAGTGAAAAGCTGAGGAAACTGCATAAGTTGCACTTGCCCTAAATAGAGACCTCAACTAGTCACCTCTTGACTTTGTGCTTGTTCCGTAAGTTAATTGTAGGCATTGCAAATCAACGCTTTCTTAATGAATGTAAGGTGAGGTAGAAATTTTGCTGATGAATACGTCTTTTATTCCCTTCTGTCTGTCTGTCCCTTCCTTTATTTTCTGAGTCTGACCTTAGCGGCTGTCAGTGTTATTGGAGGTTATCTGAACCACCGTAACATGAAATGCGTGTTAAAATTTTAGGCAATTGATTACCTGTTTTCAGGAAGCTCATAAGAGAAACCACCAGTCAGGCAGCAGGTAGAGTTTCAAAGTAAGGAATTTGTGTCTGGCCATTAATGTGCAGATTGGAATACATTTTGACTGATAAAACAGATTTATAGGCTACTTTTCAAAGAAACCACAAACATTCTTCATTAAGAAACTGTTTATTTCAATCCTTAAATATTGGTTGAGGTACTTATAAGTTTATATCCTTTATAATTAGAGGAAATTGTGGTTAAAAGTACATTTATTATTAGGGAGAGTGACTGATTATAAAAAGCAGTTTGATGTGTAATGCAAAAATTTGGGCCTAAAAATGTACTTGTACTAAAAAAAAAAAAAAACCCCAAATCTTTGTTTCAAAGAAATGTAAATAAGGAATGAGAACAGTGGCAGTGCTAACTGCGGAACTGAAGGGGTATCTCCTTACGATATAGAATGGTTCAGGTAAAATCTGAAGCACTACTTTGAGAGCTATGAACGTACTTTCTGTATTTATTAAGTCTTTAGTCTCTCTGTTCTGGACTTCTTATTTTCAATTTCATATTACAAGGTAGGGTGTCAACTCATAGCATCAGTGCATAATTTAGTTTTATCATGTGTGTAACATCCTGTATTTTCAGTTGCATATACCAAAGAAGAAACTAAACACCAAGTCAGAGGATGTCCAAGTTCAGTCCCCTTTGACAAGGCTCCCAGACTCCCACCGTTGGGTCTACCCTTTAAAAGAGGTAAAGAAAAGTTATTCAGAATGCAAAGTGCTTAGGAGCATGTTATATGTCTTGTTATGTTTTGGAGGCTGAATTTTTTAATATTGAATGCTGCCTTGTAACTGTATGACCAGTACCTGACGCAGACTGATTTGGAAAGAGTCGGTGCATATGTCTGAGATCTACCTGCAAGCATACAGTTGCAGAAATAAAAGTGTTAGTGCCACGTTGCCAAACTAAATAATGAAAAAGCAGAATTAGCCTTCAAAAGTAGTTTGGCAGAAAGTTTCAGTTTTGTTAAAGTCAATCTCAGATCCTGAAATTATCTTGAAAATCAGAAATTTAAAGGCATATACATGTACATATACGTTTGCAGTTCATTGTTTTTCGATTCCTGAGCGTTCAGGTTCTATTTAGAGCATTTATCCGAACTGTTTTTGTTATAAGATGGAAATCTTTTTAAATTAAATTTTCAGTTAGTCATTATTTGTATTCAAGAGCTGAAGTTTTAAAAGGAGAGGTAAAATACTGTACAACTTCTGATTAAAACTGTAGGTGCTAATACAGGAATGTCAGTATTGAGACTGCATGGCTGTAAGTGTGCTTAGATGACATCCTAAATGACGGTCTTGGTCATCTCAGTCGCATATAAAAGCAAATTTGTGAAGTAAATGTGCTCGAAATTCAGTAAATACATTTTTTAAATGCCACGTTTTGGAAACATTGTGCTGCGCTGTGTGTTGACTCCTTCCACTGAGCATTGAGAGTTTGTTGCTGTTTTTTGTGGTTTCAGAATCAAGGAGCTGGACAAACAGGCTCCCCCACAGAAAAGTTTTAAAAGCCTAGTGAGGCAAGTTAGGAATGCTGTTGACTTACAGCAGTGCTGGTAATGTGACCCAGTTCTCTTGGTAGGTCCGATCATTTGACCATGCTGCAATGCAAGCTCACTGTATCATAATGTCCTATACTGTTAGTACTTAAGTGAGCAGAGCATACAATTACAGTCAGGTTTTTGAAGTCAGAAGTAATGCCTGCCTGCTGTGCTTGCCAGCAGCAGCCTCTTAGGCACAGCCAGAAAACACCAAAATAGAATTCTCTCCTCGCCTCTTCCCTCCCTATATTTATCTGCGTACATATGTACGTATGTATGTGTATATATATGTAAATAGCAGTTGGACTGGGTGAATTTAAAAATGTATTTTTCTGGTTGTTTCCAATATATTGTCACATTTTCCGTCTTTTATTATTTTTCTTACCTATGTCTATATGTTTCGGATTCTTCCCATGTGGTAGAGAGCTTCTTGTACTTTAACACAGACTAGTCTTTTCGTATTCCGTTTCATCTTAAAAAGAAACGGTCATGAAGTATCATAAGTAAAAGGCATATTATTATTTTATCCATACATAGGAGCAAAGATCTGTTCATGTTGGCAGTGTGTTGACTGTTGCCAGACTTTGCTCCGTAATGTATGAGAAATTTTCTGCAGCTTTCATTGTTTGGTGTATAGGTCTCTCACGTGCTTGGAGACTGGTGCCGTGAGGAGAGCTAGATGATGTTTGGGGGCAGGAAGATGGGAGAAGACCTTCAAAGCGTTTTCCTGCTGCCAGCTGTTTTAATAATGAGGGCATTTCCCATCATGGAATCAGTCCCTCTAATAGGAGGAACAATGGTTTGGGACACACCTCTCGGGCTTCTTCACTGAAGTAGCTATAATGCATGGGCCTGAATTTTTCAGATCCGTTTTCACCCCCACACTCAAGCAGAAATGAAGATAAGGTCGTTTGTCTGCTTTCAGCCTGATCGGCAGTTTTTTCCAACCTGCATACAGTTTATTAGCTTTTATATTAAAAAAAAAAAAAAAAAAAAGGTGGGGGGGAGGAGAGAGTAGGAAGAAGAAATGGCAGAGGGAGATAGGTTCCTGGAATTACAGGAATAACTGTATGTTTTGATGGAGTTTCATTAAATTTAATTTGGAAAGATCTGTACATTTTGATAAGGTAAGAAAATCTGAAAAAATTAAAAAATTGTGTTTTGCTGTTATGAGTTTTGTCATGCCACCCAGGTATCAAGCTTTAAAATTCCTATTCCTGCTAAGAATTGCTTGCCTTTGAGTGGAGTTATATCGTTTGGTTATCTACACAGGAAGCTGTTAAAGAAAGTCGGTAATATCTTGCACATTCATGATTATTCTGAAACAGGCCCAATATTTAAGACCCTGTTTGGGATAGTCTCCCTTTAAGCAGGGGATTAGTTGAATTGCCTTTATTGTCAGCTATGTTGGAGGAAGAATGAGCAAATTCCCTTCGAGGGAAAGGCAGGATACGGATGGTCTAAGCAAAGCAACTTCATATTTTACAAAATCATTGTACAAACTCTCTGCTGCTCTCTGCTTTATTTGAGCAATTGCGTTGTTCCAGGGTCTGTCATTGTTCCATCTAGTATGTCTGTCATGGCATGTTTTTGTCTGTTGGAACCTTCCTGTTTTATTTATTTATTTCAGTGGAGATTAAGTGCCAGGAACAGAGAGTCTTCTACAAGGAGAAAAAGGCAAAGGGACTGTGACAGATGCAGCTGTAATGATGAAGAATCAATCGGGTAAGAAGCATCTCAAAATTAGTTCTTCTCTGTGTTTGCATCTTCTGAGTTTCATAGTCTTTCTTGAAGATGGGTATCCATGATCTCCAGTTAATTATTTAGGTCATGTAGAGATGATTTTCAAGCTGTCAGATAGCTCCCCACCCCTTCAGTGAAGAATGATTCACTGATCTGATGGTGTTGTGAATTACGAAGCAATCATAATTTTTGCTTTATTGTAACCCTTAACACAAGACTGCAACACCAGAATGGGAATGCAACACTGGCCGGAGGAATTATTGCTTACTGAAACGCTCAGCATCTTGAAAGGAAATTGTTACTCCATAAGTGCAAAATAGCATCCTAGCCGTCAGTACTTTATATTTTTTCTGAAGTTTTCCAGATTGTCTGCTGTTATGCATAGGCCTTATCCACTCTTAAAAAACAGTATGATGATTAATAAGGGAAGGTAGTGACAAATTAAGTTTTTCACCTGTATGTTAAACTCAAAACACCTAAGTGAGTAAATATGACTGTCTGATGTGCTGCTTCTTTATGCTCTCTTTCCAAGAGCAAGTATCTTGGTTCCTTTGAGATAAATGGCAAGTTGTTTAAAATCATCTTATGTGAAGCTGTCAGCTAGATAATTAGTTATCCAAGAAGATTCGGAAGTTGTAAGTACTATAGTTGACAAATAAAAACTGAAAATATTTGTAGAAGCAGATTCATTGACAGTAGCTAGGAAGCATGATGAAAGCATGATAGGATTAATTACCTTTATGTTAATGAGGCAACCATTATTACTTAATTGCTTATATTTGCATGAATGAAGAGTAAGCATTTTCTGACCCATTCTGACTGGGATTTAACTCAATCATGAGGTGATTTGTTGTCAGATGAGGCTTTCAGAAACACAGTGCACAGGTAAAGAGACTGCTTAATGACAGCAGGTGATTTGGACACTGGTGAATTCAGTGTTTTTATGACGTATGAAGAGTGACTATTTACTCCTGTCTTTATATACAGAATGCTCCAAACTGTTGCAGGGAAGACATAAGCTTCTCATAAATCATGACTTTACCTTTCATACGTCCTCAGAGACATAGTTGTCAGCCTACATTGTGTTACCTCAGAGTGCATCTCTTTGTAACTCTGGCTGAGGGAGTAGTTCTCAGGCTTTACTTACTAGAGCTTAGAAGCTACGGTTAATTGCATTTTCCTGAGCGTGGAATGATCGATATTTAATATCATTCTTCTGGGCTCTTTTGGTAGACTGAACAGAGCTTATGATGTTGGGGAGCTATTTAAAAAAAAAAAAACAAAAACAAAACTACCTCTGAATCTGTCACAGATTTTACTGTTGCTATGTGAGTGACTTGCAATAGTAAGCGTTCTAACATTTTTACCAAAATTCTTACCAGCGCACTGGTGAGAAATGATTTAGCTTAAAATGAGGCAGCAAATATTCAGGTAACGAATCTGTACTTTTTTCATTTCTTTGAAAAAAGATGTCTGTAGAGACAAGCTGGAGGGTTCTCTGTAAAATAAACTTTACTTATTGTCTCCAGAAAAGTTCATTGTAAGTATTGCATTTAGGTGCCACAGCATTTTTCAGTCGGTTGAAATTAACGCATTGACCTCATTGCAGAATGAGTAGAAAGAGCAAATACGTTCTAAAGGAGATGGTCTTTACTCACAGAATGGTTCGGGTTGGAAGGGACCTTTAGAGATCATCTGGTCCAACCACCTCAAGCAGGGTCAGCTAGAGCAGGTTGCCCAGGACCCTGTCCAGTTGGCTTTTGAATATCTCCAAGGATGGAGAATCCACAGCCTCTCTGGGGAACCAGTTGCAGTGCAAAGTTTTTTTCTTATATTCAGACAGAACTTTCTGTGTTTCAGTTTGTGCCTGTTGCCTCTTGTCCTGTCCCTGGGCACCACTGAGGAGAGTCTGGCTCCATCTTCTTTACATTCTCCCTTCAGATATTTATATGCATTGATAAGATGCTAGCCCTGAGCCTTCTCTTCTCCAGGCTAAACAGTCCCAGCTCTCTCAGCGTCTCCTTGTATGGGAGCTGTTCCAGTCCCTTAATCGTCTCGGTGGCCTTTTGCTGGACCTGCTCCAGTAGCTCCATGTCTTTCTTGTATTGGGGTGCCCAGAACTGGACTTGGCACTGCAGACGTGGCCTCACCAGGGCTGAGCAGAGGAGAAGGATCACCTCCCTCGACCTGCTGGCAGCGCTCTACCTAATGCAACCCAGGATACCATTGGGTTCTTCACAGTGGGAAATCTCTCATTTGTATTGCTAAAAAGGAAATAATGATCTTAATGATAAACCGCTGGTTTTCCTAGCTGCTGTTTTAAAAATGTAGCCTTCGTTATTGATAGGACCTAACTTTTTTACCCAAAATATATTTCCTGTCAAATATTTAGGGAGGCACGTTTCACCTTAAGCGTTATCTTGACCATTGTTACGGCCACTTGATTTTAGTCAGAAAGGACAAACTGGATGTATTAGCACAAACCCGCCTTCGCTTGTAGTTTTAACTCAGGTTCTGGACTACAAAATGTGATAATTGATCACTTCCATCAGTCTTGCTGTGAGGTGGTACCACAGGGGTTGGAAGCTGTGTTGTAAACCAAGACTGCTTTCTCTTGAACACCTGTGCTCAGGGCGCTGCGAATGGCTGTTGCTGGGCAATTTGTTCACGATCCCAGACAGGGTTCTCAGGACAGGTTGCTTCCCAAGTCCTGGTCAAGTGCTGCTCTTACATGTTCTCCTGTTTGTGTTCTAAAACAGATTAGGACTCTCATTAAGTATGAATAGTTTAACTTCCTAGTGGCTTTGCAGAAAGTTTGGCGTAGTGTTTGTGTAATTGGTCAGTTAGTGTTTTGTATGCCATTTATGAAACTTCTTTTACTGTCGGGGAAGAGTGTAACGCTATTTCAAAGGTAGCTGTCGCCACCTGGAAACAGCTTAGAGACATCCTCTTACCTCAGCTGTATTACTCCTGGGTCATTCAAGAGGGATAGCACTACTTTGAAAATCAGGCTTCTTGTATTGGTTTGTTGAGTTTTCTTTGGGTTGGGAGGAGTACTTAAATAAGAGGTGTGGGATTCTGCCAACTCTGCATTGTAAATTTTAATTGAAATACATGTCAAGGCTGAATGAAATACTGACCCTGTAGTTGTCGTGTTTTTGTGGCACTCACTCACACGCAGGTTTCCTTTGCTCTGATACATCCCTTGGCAATAACAACTTCCTGGTCCAGCAAAGCGAGGCAGCTAGTAGGGATTTTCAGGTTTGCTGTTAAAACAAAGTTCTGCTGAACTGATGAAAGGGCATGGCCTTTAGAAGAAAACCTGTCTGTCCTCTTCCGCCTTCAAGACAGTGCAGTCAATGCACGTGACTGAGAGTTTCCCATTAATGACAGTGCCTCACTTTATTCCTTTGGACTCCAAAAGGCCAAGAACTGCCTGGGCTGCTGCAGAAGCCCAGATAGAGGAATATGCAAAAAGTATGTCGGTGGTTTTATTCTGCAGACCCAGGACAGGTATCCAGCTCTCATGGAATCTGATGGGGTACACTCATAGGGTGTATGTCATTCCACCATTAAAACAACGATTTTACAAAATTTGGTTTTGCAAGTAGGAGAATGTAAGCGTGAAGATGGCGGTATAGGCAATTATTATCAATGCACCCAAAAGGAGTCAGTAGTTTCCAGGTCTGCATTTGATCACGCTCTCTAATGCAAATCTGAACCAATTGGAGCCAGTGGTTATGCACTGGTGTGTACATAAGTGTGGTCATTGAAAACAGAACCGGATCTAGCAGTTCTGATTGTTGACTGAAGTAGAGGTCAAGGGATCAGACATTTTCCCCAAAGTCAGGCAAACAACTAATACCTTTCAGTCCTACACTTGGTAAGGTAGGATAGTACTTTTTTGCCTGTGAAAAGTGGTTTGAGATTAGCCAAGGGGTAGTAGCTGACAGCATTTTTCTTATTTCAGTTTTCTTTCTGTTTCACCCTTACATGTGTAAGCGTATGTCTATTAACTTTGTTTACAATTCCTTTTCCCTTTTGGAAGAAGGATGGAGAAGAGGAGTAGGGTGGATGCTTGCTTTAAAAACAAAAATACTCTGCTTTGATTTTCCTTTACCAAGATGCCTCCAGGCTTACTGTTGTGCGAGTTTCTTGCTGTGTCTGTCTGTTGCTTTTTTTCTTGCTTGACGTCAATTTTCTCTTTTGAAACTTCTTTTGTATGACTCGCTCACTTGATTCTGAGGATGATGTAACAGGTAATTTAGGGATCTCTTGAAATGGATGCACAGAGATACAGAGTGGCATAAGTGTAGCTGTTTTTCTTTGACCCAGTTTTTGCTCAGTCTTCATGATATGATTTTTCAAGAAAGATTACCACTTGCTGCTACTTCTTTAGAAAGGGAAGCCACTGCAAGTTGCAAGCACTATGCAGCCCTGAGAATCGGGTCATAACCAGTTATTCATGTTAATGTCTTCAGTCAAAAAACAGTGCCATATGAAAGTGATGCCTTAGCCTGGCACTGACATCCTTATGCATAGCCAGACATAAACCATACTCTCTCGTGTTGCTTGTTGGAGGTTCCTCTCGCTACAGCCAAGTTTCCATGCGAAACCGGTTGCATGGATACAGGTGTACTCAAACTTGTAAGATCATGTTCACAAAGATACTTACTTAACATGTTTAAAGCCCATATAAGTCAAGGGAAGGGCAAGGATTACCAATTCTGGGGAAATTATTAGAGGGAAAGTATCTGTTCCAGTCTTCTGTTGCTTGATCTCTTCTGGGACTTCGGAAGATGAAATGTCTTTCCACTACAGCTCTGTAGTAACTGGACCTCTGAGGTAGATTAGGTAAGATAAGGAGGAAATGGAAGCATAAGAGTAAATCTCTAATTCCGTAAGATGAATTTGCACAAATTATTTGATAACTGTTACCGTGAAATTGCCTTTAACTGCCTTAGTAATTGTAAATTTTCTCAAAAGTTGAATGGGCCTTTGTGTAGCTGAATTTTGAAATCTGTTTATCAGCATTCTTAAAGGTGTAAGGTTTCTTATTTTAATATATTTAGTATTTTTGTATATGGCGTAGGTTGCTAACGTCCTTTCATAGTGACTTTGAAGAAGCAGGCATATACAAAGACTGTAGTATACTTTACAGTTGAACAAGTAACAATTTATGTTTAGATCTGGTCACTGTAAGTTCTTCTGACACGTTAAACCGAGGTTAGCGTATCAACTCCAGGAGTTTGAGAAGCCCGGAGAATAGCTAAAACTTCTGGCTTGGGGAAGAATTCCGTAGAAAATAACTTTCTTGCTTCCTTTGCTAAATCGAGAATACGTTACTGCTTGGTATGTTCTCGTTAAGCTGCTGCAGTTGGAATCTGCCATGTTAGATGCTGATGTCATTAAACTTCCCTTGTTCTGCGGAGACTGCAACATTTAACCCTTCCAGAGAGATATCCGAATACTATTTACGTTGTTTCCCTCCTTGGAAATAGGACCATGTGGCCTGATTACCTTATGTCTCTCATGACCGGTATTGACTTTCTCAGCTTTTTCAGTAGCTTAAGCGTATCCTTTTCTAAAACTCTAATCTTTGGATTCTCGAAGTGTAGAGTAGACCTTTTTAGGTCTATGATATTTGAAGCAGATGCACAGACTTTTGTAATGAGTTCCTAAAAGCAGCTGTTCTTTACTTCAGCAGTCACAGAATATATACAGCTCTAGATAAATTAACAAGTGTGTATCTGCCTTTTTCTGTCTCTGCCTCCACCGTTCTGGTGCTATCCTTTTGTTTAGGTCAGTCTGCTGATGAGTCCAGAGACTGTGCTTGTACATGTGACCTCACATGGCCGTCGTAGAGTTGATCTGTTGCTCTAGAAACCCTAGCCTGTGTTTCCTGGAGCTAATCAGGAACCTTCCCTTACAAGACTAAATTTTTTTTTCTTCCTCTGTCCGGATTCTTGTGTCAAAGCGCTGTGATTTATTTTTCTTTTTTTTTCCTTCAGAGTTTAAGGATCTCTTTTTGAGACTCAGCATTAGCTCTTTATCATTTAGTTTTTCTCTGGGAAACTTCTGAGACAAGCCAGAGAGTGGAGAAAACTGGCTTAACTCGAACTTCAGTTGCTTGGTTTTGAATGGGAACCATTTAAGTTTATTGACCATGATCTAGGAAACGGATAGCAGAGCCCTCAGAGACAGCAGCTCATTGCACTCATGTTGTGGCATCCAGTGATGGTCTGATAAGACTGACCGGCCTTTTTAGCTTTACAGAGAGGTTCTCTAAGCTGTGCACAGGAACCTTATTATCTTTTCAAGTTCACTGGGCAGGGGGAATGTCTTGTTAACATGGTAAGTAACCAGGGAAAAGAAATCTCAACATGTAGCTATTAATGCAATAGCAAAACGTCAGGATTTCTTGAAACGTCTTCCCTGAGTCCAAAAGGTTTCATTAGCAAAGCAGTTTGCAATCTTTTCTTTCTTTTCAAGCATAGGTTTTCTTCAGTGGTTTTCTTGGCATACTTATATCTGTTTACCGCTAGGTACTATGCAACCATGCTGTTGAGCTGAATGCAGCATGTCAGTGGGACAGCTGTAATTTCCTAAAAGTCTTTTGCACAGTTGTCAACCCACTGAACAATAGCAGCCTTTTGCTGAAGACATGTGGCTGTGGCATGTAATATCTATGTACGTAGAAGTTTTTTTCTAGCTATAAAAGAAAGAATCTTGCTATACGATGTGAGCAGCTTGGTTTGTCATTTTCGACGTGCCATAGAGAAAGCAATTTTTACCTTGTTAATCTTCTAAAACTGCTGTCTGAGCCTGAGCTTCGGTGCCCTCTTAGGGCCAGTCCTTCTAGGAAAAGAAGTCCAATTCTCACCCATTTTGAAAATGAAATGAATCATCTAAGATATATTCTGACAAATCATCTATGATATGTAGACGGTTAGCAGCTTAAAATAAACTGTCCAAGTTACTGGCCGTATTTCAGAGTTAATTCTTTGTGTTGAAGACTTCAGTATCTATCTAGCAGACTCAGTGCAGTATAGACATTTGTTTAAAGAGTCTTGATGGGAAGCTTTTAGTAACCTTCTGATTCATAATTGTATTTTTTTTTTCAGCATAATTGACTAGAAATAATCATGTGAGGCTTCAAAACTGTAAAATTGTACTAGCTTGATTTTTCCCCTTTTGCAGTAGCTTATGAGGCCATAGTGATGCCGCTTCCAATATTTTGTCAATAAAAAAGACGCAGCAAAATTTCCATGCCTCTGCAGTGAAAGTTTGCCACTTCAGAATCATGCACGGATGTGCTAGTTATTGATACCAGAATAAGAAACCCTGAAAGGCTATCCTCTTTGGGAGAAATGCAGTTCTGATTCCTCTTCTCTGAAGAGAACTGCTTTGTAAATCGTCAGGGAAGTGAACTTGATTCTCTTGAAGCTATTAAGTATGGTGCAGGAGCAATAAACCCTTGAAGAAGGGTTTAAATACGTTTTGTTGAATTTGTGTGATTTGACAAGATCTCAGCACCCTATTATTAATTTATTATTATATGTATGGCAGGCAACCCAAAGTTATCTTGACGAATGTCCTGAGGACGAAAATAGGACGAAAATACACACAAGCGCAACCTAAAACTGATGCTAATTTTTCTGATGCTGACAAGCTGCAGTTAGATCAACTACCTTCGTCATCTGTTGCCAGCCTAAAGATATGGCAAATTTTAAACCCTACTCTCCAAAGCCTTTTTCTATCCAAAAGGTATGTTGTTCAATGCTCTCTGCTTCTTGTCACTAAAAGAAATCATTTCCTTGCAGTTATTTTTCATGAGAAACTGTTCTTTGTTGTACCACAGTTGTCTTGTCTCATTCATGAACGTTATTCTCATTTCATCTGACTTTGTTGTATTCCCTTGCCCGTGATTTCTTTTGCTAATAATTGAAAGAGATGGTGTCAGGCACACTTTAATGGGATTTCTGATCGGCTGGTTTTCAGATGGTCCTGTGTTGACAAGACCAATTTGTTCTGGTTCAGCCACTGGACTCTCAAAATGCATTTTTTTCTTGTTCTTGTGAAAAGAAGAGTACGCTTGCACTTAACTGCCCATATTTCTCCAACAAGGTATCAAAGTATATATTCACTGTTACGGTCCTTGACTGCTCATGAAAAGATGAGAGGAGGCATAAAGGGTCAGAAGAAAGGCCAGGCCTATCAAGCCCAGTATCTTCCCTGCTCCTACGCCCCATCCGGCAATAGTCAGTTGGAGGTTCGCCGGGAACACTATAAGAAACAGGGCATGGTTAGAGTGAATGCTTTTTTTCACTGATGTTCCCTCCCAGTTTCTGACAATAAACAGTTTAGGGACTTCCTTTACTGTAGATTGTATCCAGAGTACTTGTTCTTCTATATCAGATTTGTTTTTTAAGTCATAGTCTCGTTGCTGATCACCTGCATACCTCTGCAGCTGCTTGTCCCTGATGTAGTCTCTTGATAAAAAGAAAATTGACATCTCAGTGCAACAGGAGATCTAAGTTCTCCCAGACATCACACAATCTGTGCTGGAGTGTGCTTCATGGATAAATACAGACAACAGGAGAGAGATACAGCAGATAGCCAGAAGACAGCCTTGTTCCATACAGATTCAAAAAAAGCCATGCCGTACATCGTAATCCAAAATGAATTGCAAAGGAAATGGTAGAATTTAAATCCCAGTTTGAGAAAGGGGGAAGTCAGTCAAGGGCTACACAGCAAGCTGGCTGTGTTTGCAATGTATCAAATACGTTGTGCTGCTCTTAGGCAGCAGTGGTCAAGTCGATAGTCACACCTTCATATTTTTGTTTAGCCTATTTTTAATGCTTGTCCTTTCTAACGCTTGCATATGTTCTTCTGGGCCTTGTAATTGCTATATTGCAGAATGTCAGCTGGAAATTGAGTGAGGAAGAAACAAAATCTATTGCTAAATGTTTGTGTATGTGCTACTTTCTCCCTGTTGACTAAGTGCTTGAAGAAATGAGTGTGTTTTACTGGAGGCTTCTTGTTCATAGGAAAGTCAAGATTTCCTTGCTGCATAATTCTGAGAAATGTATACAGATGTTACATGAAAACTATTTAGAGATAAGGATTTTCCAGTTGTTAAACAGTATTAAGATGATGCGTTAAAGGTAATGCAGTGTGAGTAGTATCTGGTTATGGTGAAACGATGCATCTAGCCTTATAGAAATTCTTGTCCTGGTTTCTTGCTGCTATTTGTATTTATCTGCTCACCTTGGATTTTAAGTTCCTTTGTGGAGGATTTTGTTCTATGTCTCTACAAGATAGAGGGGAAAAAAAGTAATACTGTTTAATGGTGTTGGGGATTATCAAGCCACTGAGATGCACAATTTTAATTAGAAGGCTCTTTCTCTAGATTTGAGTGCAGTATTTATGTTTTATTGTTATATGTATGGCAGGCAACCCAAAGTTATGTTGACGAACGTCCTGAGGACGAAAATTGGAAGAAAATACATAAACAGCCACGTAATAGTTGATGCTAATTTATCTGATGCTGACAAGTTACAATCAGGTCAACTGCCCTCATCATCTGTTGCCAGCCTACAGACATGTCAAATATTAAGTCCTCCTCAGGAAAGTTCTTTTCTGTCCAAAAGGTATGTTACTCAATGATCATTTTGCCAGTCTTCCTGAAATAACATGACTTCAAAATGGAAAACAATTTCACTGGAATAGTTTTTATGAGACTCTGTCTTGAAGCAGAAATTGAATTTCCTGAGTGCAAACTAACATGCTGCTGCAACTAGCTGTTTTAACATTGAATTTATTCTGATTTTTGCTGTACCTGATGTTACTAGGCTACTGTCCTTTCGTAGAAGGAATGTCGTTTCTAATAAAACAGTGTTTTTGGTCTGTAGCGGTGGCTGTGTTTCAAATATATTTCAGTTGGTTTTGCGTCCAGAACCAAAATCTTGTGTTCCTCTTGCTGTTATGTTTTCTAGCATGATTTCAAATACTTTCTTTAAACAATTTCTCCAAATTGCATATATATGGTAGTTCATTTCTTTTTCATTAATCCATCACTGGTCGCAAGCGCATCAGCAGAGTGCTGTTGTTTGAGATCGCTTTCTCATTGCTTAGAATCTACTTTTCCTCTTTTCTTCCTGTATTTACCTTAACTGAGCATCACAGCAATGTTTGACATGCAAAACTAGTAGAAACGAGTGGTTAGAATTATGTAATACTTGTATCTCAGTTTAAGGTGGCAGCTGAATTCAGAGTAAGCTCTTCCTTCTTGTCCTCTGTGGCGGCCTTTTCTTTGCTTAAAAGCCAAGTATCCATAGGGACAAATAGCATGAAATTTTGGGAAAGGAAATAGAATGAGGAATGAAAAGAATGGTTTGCGAGGGCAGGAATGATGAGCAGTTTCCAGATTAAAGCAATCATACATCTTTAGAAGAGTAAGTCATAATCCTCATTCTGATACATGGGCATCTTAGAGATCTTGCTGTCATTTTTCTGTCAGTGTCTCTGTTGTTGCTTAAATTAATCTGACAAAGCTGAATTTTAAAATGAGGGAGTTAGAACAGTTTATTAGTTTATTAGGTTCTCTCTTAAGTCACTTTAAAACTACTGCAGCTATTTTAATAAGTAGTTCATAACTGTAGACTAAGGGTGTGTTTTTTGTTTTTTTTTTGCTACAAAATCTTCAAGATCTATAATATCTAGTACCCCAGTTTTCCACTCAGTATTGTTTTGAATGATGACAATGCCTGTATTCATAAAGAAGAAGACATGAAGTTTTTTGTATGTAGCTCTCTAAATCTCAGAAACGTCTTGCATATTTTTTCAATTTAATATCTGAAGGGCAACTGTTGAGTTTTATGCTAAGCAACAGTGGTTTAGACTCTTCAGTACTGAAATAGCTAATGCTACGTAAAGATCTCTTCTGTGTAACCCCCTGAAGAGAATAATGCCTCACGACAAAAAAAAAAAAAAAAGTATTAAGGACATAGAGGGAAATCAGACCTTTTACATGAGTATGGAACTAGCTCTATATTAATTGAGGTTAAATAAAGTCTCCAGTTTCTCTAGTTCAGTTTGTCTTTCTGGGTAAAAAAGATCTGAGTCAGTGTTTCAGTAGTTGGTGTACTTAGCTTGCTTTAGACTTGGGATTGTTCATTGCATGGAGGATTAATTTTCTGTTTCTGTGATGTGCTTTTTTAGTACGTTAAATAAAAGTGTTAGAGCTTTTTGATAAGACTTGTTTTTAGAAGAAACCAGCATAAAGATTTTTTTTTTTTTCCACAAAGTGACCAGCATATTAATACAAGCTCTGACAGATATCACACAGGAAGTGGAGAACTTAAGTAGTATTCTAAGAAAGACTTGTTTTGATCCTGATTATCTCCCTATAGCTGATGTCTGTGCATAGGACATTCTTGGCACTGACTCTTTTGGGGCCTCCTCTTTTGGAGCAGAATAAAAGGCTCCCCCCCTTATAATGTGTGTGTACACACACATATGTACACGTATGCACCCCCATACTGAGATTCTTTTGTGTTATCAGGGTAGCCGGCGTGCAGCTTCTGTTTCATGGAAAATCATACCTGTTTTATAGTATGGAAATCTCAGGTTAGTCTAAGAACAGGGTAGTAACAAGTTAACTTTTCCCTATTAGCTAAAATTTCCTGCGAGTTCTCTGTCTCCCTCCTTCCTGTGGATGTTACAGAACTGATGGGTTTTGCATTCCTTGTTCACTGCAACCCAGTGTAAAATGCATTTACTTAGATCACTACTGACCCATTAATATGACGAATGTGAGGTTCATCTTAAACATAAAGAAACTGAGGGTGGTTTAAAAGTGTTTCATACTTGTTCATCATAGTTGTTGAGAATACTTCAGTATATATTTCCATAGTTTCTTAGGTCGTGCATGTGCCTGTAAAGTAGTGCATTTTAAACTGAGCTAGCATCAATGAAGATTAGAAGTGAAAATAAAGTATGTAGAATTTGTGTCTAGACTATGTTTAGATTATAGCTGAAACATCCCTATTGAAATATTTCCTATTTCGTGTTGAAATGCCTGGATTGTAGTGTTGATGCTGAATGCTAAGAAGCACTTAATGATTTTAGGTGTTTTTTTTTTTTTTAAAACAATCAGATCAATATAGTTGTTACGCCAGCAACTATGTTTACATTAAGAGATGTACATAGCTTGCAGAACCCTGGAGTGAGGTTATTCCAGAATTAGAGCTACCAGATCTCTAGAAGACCCTATCTTATTCAGGGCACAGAGTGAATAATACTGTTTATTGAACAGTTTTTATGTATATGGCTTCATGCATGATTCATTGTGAACTGAGAGAGAATTACTAATTTCTTCATGGTGTTTATATAGTGTTTATTACTGTAGTGTCCGAGCACTTTGGAAATCTTTATTCTATTATATTTATATCTTCACAATATTCCCAAAGAGCAATGATACTCCAATTTACAGATATGACACTGAAGAACAGGCACCTGTTTAGAAAGTGTCTTAACAGTTTTGGATATCTAATTAGAGATGTCAGGAATCTTCTTTCCCATGGTTGGTGGAATTCTTTACGAGTCCAAGCTCAGCCATCAGTGGTATAAGTCATTACGGTCATTAGCTAGCACTTTGCAAATTAGACTGCAAGATTGTAAGGTAGGCCTCCTGTAACACGATGAAACCCAAAATCATTTTGGGTTAAGTGAGGTGACAAAAAGAGGAATGGAAAAGGTTTTCCAGAGCAATGTTAAGTTATTTTATCCATGAAATCTTCCTTTATTTTCTTGCTTTCTTTGAACTCCCACAGTGAATGAAGTTGGTATCATGCAGGTTGGGTTTTTTGTCAATATAACCCTGATAAATTCTCAGAAGTCTTATGCACTGAATGTAATTAAGTTCCTGTGAGAAAATATCATGTGACCATGTAATTAAACGTGGTATCGTAATGCATACACTTGAAACCAAAGTACAGTTATATAGACTTTTGTCAGCTGTAACTAACCTTCAGAGAAATTGAAAGAGTTTCTGTATACAAGGTCAGACCTCAAATGTAATAATTTCATACTGTTCAGTCTATCAGTACATTTGGGAATATTGATTTCTTTTTTCTCTGTTACATAAAAAAGAGATAATAGGAAAAAAAAAAAGTTTTTCTAGCATGTCCTTTTTTTTTTTTTTTTTTTTTTTTTTATTTTATTAGAATGAACCTACTAGTTCAGCTGAGAACTTGTAGTTTTCCTAGTTTTCCTTACTTTCTCTTCTGTCTCTTCTGTCCTCATTTACATGGTTGTTGTTTGTTTGTTTGTTTTTGTTTTGTTCCCCCCCACTCTTCCACAAGTTGCTGTTTGAGACTTCTTTGAGCAAGGAATTCTCATTTTAGATCTTTTCTTGTTCCAGGAACTTACACAGTGGACTCTATCAGTAGTCTAAATCTAAATTTTAGATAAACTACGTTGCCTCATTCCTTCCACATTCGTGACAAAGGCAAGGATAGAATCAACTAACTGTTTTTCTCTCCTTTTTTTTCCTTCTTCTTGTTACGTGTTCTCGTCACATTTATGCTTTACAGCAAAATAATATTTCAGTGTCTGATGTCAAGCATGTCAGATTTTCATCCTGTGCATCTTTTAGAAGCATCTATTTCGTTAATAATGTCAGAGTATCTAGCTGAGTATTTCCATAAAGTGAACTGAATTAGTCTGCATTCCATTTGCCAAGCTTCACATGCTTACGAGAGAGGCAGAAGTTTGTGACTCTTAACTGACTCTTGTTTCTGTTGGGATTTTCATTCAGTATTCTTTCAAAATAAAAGATAAGTTATAGTTAATATTCTTTACAGGAATGAGCATTGCCTGAGAAAGACAGACGATGGCCCTTGTAAATTGACCGAGCCTTCTAAGGAATCAGAAAGCAATAATTTTGTCTTCGCTTTTAGAAAACGTGAGCTGCAGAAGAAAGGTTTGTAGTGAGCAATAATCTAGCATTTCACTATAAATTTTTGGAGCGTTTTGGAAATATTTAACTCTAGTATTATGAGAAGAGCAAGGAAATAGGGTAATAGAAGGTGTCGCAGATAGGATGTATGTTTCCACAAAATGCAATGTTTACAGATATGGTAAAATGCATCAAATAACTAAAGCTGTGTTTTTAAATAGCAATAAAGCTATGATGACTTGGATATGCAAACAAAAGGAGATTGAAAGAAGCCTCGTGGTACTGTTGTTATAATGCTGACTTTATAAAAAGTCTTTTGTACTCAAGAATGGAGTATATTAGAATGCTCAAATGGTTTGGAAACCCTACTAAAACATTCATGCTATACAACAATATTTGTACGCTCTTCTGAAAAATAATGAGCTCTGTGCTGACTCTCTAGAGGTGAATGTGCCATCTTTCTAACACTGTTTAGCAATATTTACAGATTAAAACGGGGCTTGGAGAATGTTGCATCCAGCAGGGGCTACAAGGAGGATTGTGGAATATAGAACACTAGTTCTTACTTGGAGGGGAGCTATGAATTTGGTTATATCCTTATATTCATTATTTTTGCAATAATTATCTTTACCTGATTATTTTAGGGAACATATTCTGGCAAGCACACCCAATTTAAAAAAGGGAAGAACTCTCTTGTGGAAGCTGTCTGCTTGAATGCATTTTAGTTAAGACATAACAGATGCAAAGAAATACAATGGTTTTTAAGGTTAATCCATTAAATCCATTCGTTCATTTTCTTTTTGCTTCTCTTTCTTTTTTACATTTTGACATAGAAAACAAGAACTATGTTGAAGTGGATAAGAGGAACAAAAGCATGAGCAGTACCTCTCTTAGTTGGAAGGGATCAGACTCCTTTGATTCTGAGAGAAGGAAAAGAAGATTTAGCGATGATTGTAATTCACATATTCCAGAAAAATCACTTCTAACATCTGTAAGTTATCCTTAATTTTGATGCATGTGCACACAGACAGACACACGCTCTTTCTTCAGCAGCAGCAGTAGCAACATCCAAAATACAAGAACCGTAATCGTAACGAGGTTATCTAGGGATACCTTTATACCTGTCGAGGAAAAGGAGTACAGTGATGAATCAGGAAGTGTGACTGTACATGCTTTTTTCCAGTACATCAGACTATGCTCGTTAAAGGCAGAGAGATGAATAAGTGTTTCCTTCAATCAGGAGCATGGAACAAAGCTATTTGGGAAATACGGCATCAGGCCACTGAAGTAAAGTTTTTTTTGGGAGATGGTATGAAACTGATTAGGGACGTTCAAACAAAGTTATAAAGTATACATGGGATTATTGAAATCTTGAAGATGGTATTTTCCTGCCTTCCTCTTCAGTCCATCATCATACTCTCCTTGAAAGTTTTATTCTGATCTGTCACTAAGATCTGAGGGGGGACAAAAAAAAAAAAAGAAGTTGAGAGAATTGGTCAAGTACAAGCTGTGATTTATATTCAAGCATTTGAATATGCTGAAGGTATATCTGTTAGCTTGTTTTTAAAAACCCACTGATGTAGGTTGGTACAGAGTCCTGTTCACCTGGTGGACAAATCCATACATTTGCAAAGTAATGAACATTGCTGATTCTTGGTGTTTCAGCGTCAGACTTTGAAGGAGCTGCTAAAAGATCTGACGCAGTTTCTTGTTCAGTTTGAACGGGGAACATAGTAGGCTTCTAAAAGCTTGTTCCTACTACCTTTATGTAGTGACCTTTGACATAAAGTGGGGAGGAGTTACCCTGACTTGAGCTCTAAAGTACAGCTGCATTAAGCAATAATTATTTTATCTAGCATGTTACAAAGACTCAATGATTGCTGATCTGAACTATCCTAGGAAGGTCAAGAAATAAACGTATACCCTGTCTCTGATTCCTTTTTTTTCTAGAAAGAGCAAAGATTGAGTTCAACTCAGTCTCCTGGCTGCAGAAACCTTTGTGAGGATGAACAAAGTCACAGGTCTGCCCTGGTGCGGGACTGTGTTCCGCAGCTATCAGAGACGGGTCATAAAGACGCTTCCACCCACAGCCGTTTAAGGTCTGCTCACAGCTGCGCAGAGGTACTTGGCTCAGAGTCTCCTCCCAGAAGCTTGTTGGAGAAGCAGCTTCCTGCTTCCGATGAGGACACGATTTCACCACGAGTCAGTACCATCAAGAAATTAAAGGTGGATACGTCGCAGTATCTGAGCAAGTTGCGGAACAGAATCTGCAGGGGTAATCAGCCGCTTGTTTCAGTTGAGCCAAGTATGTACTGTATCTGTGTTGCTGACAATTATCACTGATATGCTTAGATCTTGGGAGAGCTCGTGTATGACTGACTAGCTGAATTACATGGAACAAAAGGTTGAGGACAGAGAAAGTATTTTTGTAATGCGTTGTGCAGGTTAGAGAACAGTGCTGACTACAAGGTACTGGAGTGTAGAGGGTCCTGTACTTGAGAAACAGCATGGACAGAAGGATTTTCCAATTCCAGTCCATATTCTACAGCTGATTCTGTGGCTGTGGAAAAGTAAGTTTGTATTTTTAATGATGTTGAGAAAAATATAAACTCTCTTTGTTGAAGCAGGTATGTTGTGGCTTAACTCTTATCTGAATAAAATTTTGAGAACCTTGGGTGAGAAGTGCTAATAAAGTTAAAAAGCAGTGCTGCTTATTATATACACTTGCGTGCGCGCAGACTCGGGCTGGGTGGGGCAATGTACTTTGATATTACTTACTAAGGGAGAGAGTATTCTTTGCTCATCTGAAATTTACACTGTACAAAATATTCTTAAAACTGCATCTGGTCTTATATGTATACTCTTTTTTTTTTTTCCCTCTTTAGTTGTCCTTTCCAGTGATGATGAGGATGGCTCTTCTGAACCAAAGTGCATAGAGCCGCTGCAGGATAATATTACTGAAGATAAAGAAACAGACCAAGAGCCTGATTTATCTTTCTCAAAAATGCTATTGGAAGACAGGATGGAAAGTCACACAGAGCAGGTAGCCTAATTTTGGCCTGTGTGTTGTTATGCCAATCCTTTAATTTATTTGTATGACGCATGTTAGGACACGAGTGAAATGCTTAGAGCAGCTATCATTAGTCCTAGCAACAAGCAGTAGCTGTAGTAATTTATTTCACAGATGGAATTCTGGACAGTCTTCAGAGAAAATTTCTGATTTTGACATTTGAGTGGTTCTGTAAAATACTGTGTATTTCATATTTCAAAAGTACATGTTTTGGAAATGTCTAATATTACAAAACAGGAAGGATTAAATAGTAGCCTGCACTGGAGGTGGACATAATGGAGGTACTTCTGTGAAAAGGTCTTTTTCAGACAATTTTTGGCTATTTATCGTAGTTCAAGTGAGTAGTTTCTTCTTGTCATCCAGTCTTTTGTTGTAATTCGGTGCATGGAGAAGTTTAAGAATCTTTGTGGACAGCAGAAAGGGATAGGGTAAAGTTGTTCCCGTTCCTTTATGGGCAGTAGTGGATTTTGAATCTAAAACTATCCGTAAAGGTCATTGCCCCATCTTGGGCTCTGAGTCTTGTGCTGCTATATCTAACCCGGATTTCAGATTTCTCTAATTCTGAAACAAGCCAGAAGAGCCACTGCTGCCTCTTCTCCCAGATGCATCCCTCTGAACTTGGGCATTGAATTGGATCCTGTACCTTTCATATCAAAAGGGAGGATTTTTTCTGTTGCTCTATTGTTTCAGATTTTACTTGTGTTTAGATTGGTAAAGAGCACGGGTTGTGTCTTGGCAGTGGGAAGTTCAGACTTGGAGCAAGTTACTGTTCAGCCTTGGAGAAGGTTATCAGTAATGATAGCGATAACCTGCAGCTTTTAATATGGAAATTTTACATGGAAGTTAGGTATGGGAATAAATTCTTAAAAGCATAAAGAGAAAATTCTTAAGGTTACAGGAAGGAAATGTTTCATTCAAAGCCCTATAACAAATATACTGCTTTATTTTACAGCTTTTAATGGAGTCAGCTGAAGATAAATGTCCTGTCAGCTTACCTTCTGGTAGCACACCTAGTGAACAGATGAACCCAGCATTGGATATTGCATTTACTAGTCTATACATCGGGAGATTTAGTTGGTCATCAGCAGGTCATGCTAGGGTAAGTTGCATTATTATGGTGACATTTTGAGAATATTTTGAAATGAGATTTTAGAGCAGTTCTCATGGAGTAATGAAAACATTTCTTAGAGATCTCCTAAATTAATGTGCCAAAATCATTTGGAGGGTGAGTTGAAATATTTTTAAAATCAGTGCTTTTAAGTGGAATGTGAGAATTCTACCCTGGAAGAAATGACTTCATTTTTTTGTGCTTAGTATGGTAAGGCAGGAGAAAACTCTCCTCTCGATGTAGATGACAGCCTTCAGCCAAAATGACAATAAAGCATTCTTTATTTAGCTAAATCTTTTTTTTTAACATAGTGGCAGTAGAAGTAGCAACTTTAAAGTTTTTTAATTCAGAAGTTAATGTTGGTAAGATAAAACTCCTGTGTAGGACTGTTTAACTCATATCCTTAATGAATTCAAATAACACAACTGGCAATCTTTATCATGGGACGCCTACACATAGGCTCTTTTTGTCCTGTTTAGCCATCTGAGCGTTCACCATTTTTCTTCTTAAGGAGTCTGTAGGCAGCTCTATACAGTCTTCTGCTTCTTTCTGAGCGTTGAGCACCTGTGCAAGTCAGCTTGTTGTCATTTAGATTCTTTAGTGTGGATTTAGGAGTATTGTGGTAAGTGAAATACACAATGTTGATTATGTTCTTAAATAAGGAATTTTATTTTTCCAATTTATTTAGCTATAAGCAAAGAAGGATGTGCTGATAATTAAGAATTCTTACTTTGTTTTAATCAATTTGTAAAAAGCAAACTCATTTATGTTGTTTTTAATTTTATTTCAGTTTACAATCAGGTATATTATGATCCCATTTCAGGGTAAGATAATTCTGTTTCTTTAACTTTCTCTTAACTCTTAATCTTATAAATACTATATGAAAATATTCTGTGTATGTTTATATTTTGAATATTTTATGTCCTTATTTTATTTGCTTTTACAAAGACATTGAAGCCTCTTCCAAATATAAATTTATCAATAAGTAAAACTTGAGGTCTAGCATGTAAGTTTTCATAACAGAGCAGCTTTTTACACTTTTAAGGTGAACTTGTTTTAAGCGCCTTGCTCTTGCGATTCTGCAAATTTAAGTGATAAACTGCGGTAAACATGACTGTTTATGTTTTTGAGGTGAAACAGCAGTCTTTTGCCGTCAGGGGTTTAGGCCTTCTGCTGTGTCAAACAGAAATGTGTAAGTTGCCCAAGCCAAGAAGAACGTGACTCTGTACATTTGCATTCAGTCAGTTTTCCAAAGGTGGTGTGTGATGACTCGTCGGAAAAGGTTGGGGAATAGTTCTGAATTGACAGATGGATTGATGGAAAGAAAATAGGAGTTGATGACTTGGAATTACTTACAAATACACAAAAAAAATGTTATTAACTGTGATTATTCTGAGCAAAAATATGGTTTTTTTTTTTTCATAAAGAGTTACGCATTTAGATATTTAGCTTTTGGTGTTAAAATTTGGTAACTTTGTTTTATATAGTTTGGAAAAAATGATTCAACTACTAAATTCTGAACACGTTTGATATAGTGGCAGGAATATAATCTGCAAGAATAGTTTTAATACTCTTTGATCATACTTACATCTTACTATGTAATTACTGCAGTGTGTATGCCTTTATAATTATCTATGGCTGTGTAAGGTGTGGTCATTTTAAATCCTGTTTTCTGTAGTGGCTCTTAATAAGAATATTAAGCTGACAGTGGATACCCTGGATCTGAGAAGGTTTGGTCTGTGGAGAAGTGACGGTGGCTGTTCCTCAAGGACAATTATTTTCCTTTGGTTGTCCGCAGATTATGTAGAAAAGATGGAAACCCAATTAGGAAAGTCTATTTTCAGCACGCCATGTGAGTAATCACTCTTCTTAAGCACGATGAAAAGGTCTGCTATTTGAGGTTATTTTAAAGGGGTTGTTTTACACTCACACCTCTCAATATTGAGGAAATCCTATAGCTTTTTAAAGATAAAAGTTGGTCAGTTTTTCTTTTCCGGAACGCCTCTCTCTACTTGTCTCTGGAAGAAAAACATAACCTGATGTGATTCAAAACCACTGCTGCTTAATAAAAAAGACCTTTTAAACTGGATTACGTTGCAATCTGTATGTGGAGGCCTTTTTAAACTAGACTTGTATGTATAGGATACATAAAACAGGATGTTTTTAAGTTTCTTTACTTTTGAGTAACGTAGGTGCTAGAAGAATGGCTTGGAAGATAAATGCTGATTTTTACCTTTGACAAGACTGTGCCAGACCATTGCGTTATTATTAGAGAAAATTTCGACTAGAGGCTAAATGGGCTATTTAGTCGGTAGGGTCTCGTGAGCTGGGTTTACCTGTTTTCCTGGAGCGAAGCTCTGTTAAGAACTGAGTGTAACTTTTGCTCAAGTATTCAAAGACTGGCACAATCCCACAATATTTTTACATTAGCAAAATGATTACAAAATGACCTCTACTGCCGATATGATGTCAGAGTTGCCTTTGTGAAATGTAACGGTTCTTTTACCTATGCAGTCACCACCTCCATGTTATTCGATACTGCACTTTTGGTTTTTTTTTGTTTTTTTATTTTTTTCCAACTGCACTTAATGTTAACTTTGCCTAAGGAGCAGGAATTGTTTAAAGTGAGAGAATGAATTAAGTGTTAGCAGTGAGTTACCTTTACATTTCTAGACCTAAGTTTGTTGAAGTTACCAGTGGCGTTTATAGACAAAGCTCTCAGTGAAATGAGTGGAAACTGAGTATGCAGCTGCATGACACTCTTTTTAATCTTGGGTTTATTTACCTTGATTACACTCTTGTTCTAGTAGAAACCTTGAGGAGTTACTATTAAATTTCTGTGCTTGAATGTTTTATGCCTTTTGAATATGTATAGCAACGTAATTCTTTTGAATTGTATATAGAGACTTGTTGAAACAAATTAAGAGTGACAGTTTTATGGTGTGGAAACCATTGCCACAGTTCTGCTCTACATTCTTACTGTATTAATACTCTCCCTTCTTTCCTTTTTCCAGCCAAATCTAGTGAATTTGTTTTTCTTGAACTATCCCAACCACTCACAGAGTGGGAAGAAGTTAGATTGGCTGAATTAATTACGAATGTTAGCAAGAGGAACAGAGCACCAGATCTCCCTGAGTTTTTGTCTTTGAAGCAAGCTTTACCATTGTTTAAGGATCTTTCTGCTGAAGAGAGCTCTTTTATGAGTTACAGTAAGGATCTACTAAAGCAATGTATGCCGAAAGAGAGTACCTCAGATGTGCATGAGCCTGCATTTCGGGTTAGTGAGTAGCTTTTGCTTGATTTGTTACCGCCTGTTGACATTCACAAATTCCAGTAAATTTTAGATCAGCCAGTTGCCGAGAATAAATTCTTTCTTTATCGATAGCTTAAAAAAAAACCAGTAGCATTAGTGATTTATCCCTCACAATGGGGCAAGGCTTAGCAGTAAAGGGCTAGATTGTGCCCTCAGAAAGATAGTGCAGAGACATTACCAGCACTGGTAAGTGGCAAATAATGAAGTTTTTCGTTGGCTCGTAGTTGTGTATGTTTAGAGCCATAGGGATTCAGCTCCCTTGTGGTGTCTTCAGGATGGCAAGTTGAGAGTTAATGAATGTAGGAGTGACAGTGGTGATGGGCTCGTTCCTCACCTGAGCTGCAAGTGAACTGGGTGCAGCAGAACGGAGGCAGTAGTGTGTGTAGGAGGAGAGCGCACCTTGCCCATTCCGAATGCTTCTAGATTTTCTAGTGAGGGCTCTGCAGCTTGAAATACCTAAATGATTCCCAAGGCTGCTAAGGAGATGGGACTATGCGTATTAACGTGACAGTAAACCTCCATTTGAGGAGTAAATGTCTAAACGCAACCCCATCCTGTTGTCAGTTCAAAGCTGTATGTGTTTGCTCCAGTCAGTAACAAACACAGAGACCACAGGTCAATCTGCGTATGAAACTGGTAGCTTAAAGGTCGAGTTGCTCTGCTTCTAATTCAAATCTGTACTATTTTTAGAGAGATTCTGGAGAGCTAGATTTTCAAACCTACCAGGCTTACCCAGCTCCTAGTAAGACAGTCTCATGTTGGTGTCCATCCTTTCAGGGCCTGTTTCTCGTCTGAAAGTAATTCTGCCTCAGTTGGCTGAATAATGCTTATAAACTATTTTAGAGAGAAGTTATGAACAAATAAAGACCTGCCAGTATTTTAAAAGAGACATAACGGCTTTTTTTTTTTTTTTTGTCTAAGCAGTGGCACATAAGTCTAAATGCTGATGTTTGCGTGTTTACACTTCTGCCCTCCAGCAAGATTCTTCAGTGATGCAGTGTACTGTTGTGGGCTTCAGGCTTGTGGGAAGTTTTTTGTTTGTTCATTTGTTTTTGTGGTCTGTTTTATATAGCCAGTTGTGTAATCTTTTTTATTTGTTTTTTGTTGATAGGAATCAAAACCAAAAGTGGCCAGGCCTAGTTATGCACTTGCAAATAAGCAGAACAGTGGTTGCTATTCCATTTCTCTGTCCTCTGCACTGAATGAAGAATGGAAAGAAGTAAGAGAAACTGGAGCAGTTAAGAAGTATGTATCTTTCACTTAAATGAGAAGGTGAAAATAAAGCAAACTGAATAAACACATTGCTGAAATAAAAGTCCTGCCTTGACTACCATTTTCTAGTTGGTTTGAAAGTGTTGGATGAAAGATGCTATATAAATATAAAATATGACTGAATATGAATGTGGTCGTTGCATGTTTCAGTCCTAATAGTTGAGAGAGGATGGATGTGCCATGGGATGACAAAGAATCTCACAGAAATTAGTTGAATACCTGAACTTTGACTACGGATGGGCTCACATCATGGATACAGGAATGGGAGACCTTGTAGTCTCTGTGAATGTCCACCTAAGTCCATATCAAAGCAAAACTACTGCGAACTTCAGCTGAGCCACTGTTTTTCTCTAAACGATATTTTCTTCACTCTTCTGTTGCATTTGATCTATTCATAACTGCAGTTTGTAATGCAGTTTATTAGTTAACATGAGACCTTGGTTAAAAAAACATTTTAGGCAATGAAAACACATGAATCTGTAATGCAGCAAGAAACTAGGAGACAGCTAGCATTGTGCCTTGGTTCCGTCTGTGTTAGTCTGTTATTCCTCATGCTTTCAGTACGGCAAACAGTAGTAAAGCACATTGCTCTTAAGAACTCCTGCAGTATGCTGTCACTGTTTTTGCTGGCAGTGAGACGGTTGGTTTTGGTTCTGCTTAAGAGATTTTCTGCAACAGCAGAAGTGCTCAGTTCATGGTTCCAGTTAGGTAACATGGATGCTAGTCTAGACTTTTTTTCTTTAATACATTGTAAGTGTTAACTTTAGACTTAAGTTGGGCAGTTCCAGACCACTTACAGTGCATGTGCTGCATGGTGCATAAACCCAAATTTCCTCCTTGTAAATGTGGGAGCCCTCACTGGAGTCTTGATAGGAAATCACTTCTCCTTCATGCCTATTCGGAATCTTTTTCTTCCCATTTTGTACAGCCATTTATCATTTATTTTTATCAAAAAAGGTAGAAGTAATTTCCTTTCCATAGTTTTTGGCAAGACTGGAGGCGGGAGGGATATATTTGTTATGTAAATGCTCTCGCTATTGGAGGAGGAAATGGTAATGGACTTTTGAGTTAGTCAATAGTTTCGAGGACTACTTCAACAGATTTTCTGGAAAATCTTTTAGATTTGGAACAGACATACTAAGAAGAATATATGAAACACAGTTTGCCATTGTTACAACATGATCTGTGTTTTCCAGTTTGATTGTTTATCCACCTCCACCTGCAAAAGGAGGCCTTGGAGTCACAAGAGAAGATCTAGAGTGCTTAGAGTATGGAGAATTTCTCAATGATGTCATCATTGATTTCTATCTTAAGTAAGTACTGGAGATTTAATTATCCTCTTCTTTCACAAGGTTGATGTGATCTTGCATGTAACTGTAAGTGTTGGCCATTAAACATGATATAACAGTTTAAAAAGTAATGATATGATGAAGTGTTAAGTTGATTTTTTTTTTTAAGCTTTTGTATATCCTCAGTAGCTTCATTTATTTCAGTTTCATTTTTTGTTGCCCTTCTAACAGGCTGTGAGGTACTCCAGACAAAGTAGAGCAATTACTGTTTCTGCTCAAGAAGTAAATTTATTTTAGTTGTGTCCACTATAATCATTGTACTAAACGTAAAATCCTTAGTGTTGTACAAATAATATAACTAGGACAGTGAGAGATGTTCTGTCCAGGCATAAGGCAGTAAGAGTCCAAATTATATGGATTTTCAGTAGTTGTTAGGTGCCTAATTCCTGTTTGAGGATCACTACAGCTTAGGGAGGAGAAAAGGCTCTTGGGGACCTCACAGGACGGAAAATGCAAAGCAGTTTTAAGCAGGCAGCTGAACAAAGTAGAGGGTCTGTACTGAGTAGTTCATTACTAAGTTTGCATGGAACAGAGCATCCTCAGCTATTCTGTGTACGAGGTCAGGAATCCTTCTGATGCGCAGCCGCTGCAGAAAAGAACACGGCTAACACTTCTTGAGGAAGTTGTGCTTGCCTTACCTACTTTATGCCATCCTACTAGAATTGCTTGTAAAAATAAGTTTTGCGAAACTTATTTTTTTTGTGGGCCACTATTCTTTAAAGTCAAGATTTATTTTCTATATGCAGACTTAAGCAGAATTCTGTCTCCATGGAAGTTTGGCTGCAAGAATCCGTTTCGTTTGGCATCAAGCATGCAGTAACTGTGAGCAATAACAAGCCAGTTAAAACAGCTTATCTAGAGGAGTGAAAAAGGGAACGTGTACCTGAATGTTTGGTGTGGCTTTACAGCAAAGCCCTTTTTATTCTGGTGTAAACTGGAAATCAATTACACAGTATGGTCCCCGCTATAGCCCTATTGCAAGGGCTAGAAATGTAACTCTAAAAATAAATGAAAGCATGAATACTGAAGCACAAATCTAAGATAAGGTAAGGTGACTGTGATCTTAGTAATTGTTTGGCATTTATATACTGTGGTGATGTCCATCCACGTGCATATTTAAAAGAGAGTATATAGAAAAGCTTAGCACCGTTAGCAGCTGTGAAGACAACTGATAGTAAACATAACCTGAGGATGATGAATCAGGCAAATAATTACGCTTTTTTATATTAGGAATGGTAGTTTCTACAATGGGAATTTAAAAATTTCTTTCTTTTTTCGTTTGGTAGATACCTCTTGTTGGAGAAAGCTCCAAAACATCTTGCTGATCGTACACATATTTTTAGCAGTTTCTTCTATAAGTGCCTGACCAGGACAGAAAAAAACTCGGAAGGGGATCCCAAACTTTCGTAAGTTTGCTTCAGATGCCATAATGACCAGAAATAAAGAATCTACTACCGTTATTCAGAAGTTCTGTAGCTTGTATCTTAATTAGCACATAAAATAATACATTGGCGTTCTCCAAAGGATTAGCAGTTAAATGTTGTAACTCACAATTTAAGCGTAATGATATTTTTTCATTAAAGTTTACATGTGATTGATCCTGGCTGTGAATAAAAGTGTTATCGCCTTTCTCCAGCTTTATCTGAATCTTCACTTCAAACAATTATTTATGTATTTTGATCTCTTTTTTTTTTTTTTTCCCCAAACTCAAGAGTTTTTCAAAGCGTGCTTTATTTTAAGAAATTTTTCTTTTTTAATATTTTCAGATTTACCACATCTTTAATGTTACATGTTAATACTAAATTATTGTCCCGGTCTTTAGTAAGAAAATTTACCTACACACCAAGTTTACATGTACGAGTTTTTTACACTCTGATACACAGAAATTGGAAAGTTTCACAGACAGTATCATTAGGAGCTGATGAAACCTGTATTACTTCATGCTTGCAGCCAAGACTGTGAAGGGTAGGATCGTCCCTAGTGCGCATTTGGTTCCTTCTCAACACCGATGTTTCAGTGGATCTTTCTTACCACTTCACTTCCAGTTATCATCTGCCAGCTGCTTTCATTCCATTATCATCAGTCAGCTTATTGAAGTTTTTCCTGTTTATCTCTGCAGTGATTTTCCTTTTGTTATTTATGAGGCCCCCAGGTTTTATATTCTTTCGGCCAGCTGGACCACCTGCACGTAGAGGTGTGCCACCTCCTTTCTGTGTTGCAGTCAAACATTTCTGCACAAAAGTTAGAGAAAAATGCAACTTCTGTGATATTTTTAAAAGAGCCTCAAAAATCCAAGGAGCTTTGCTTGGGACAATGTGTCTTCCATCAGTTTTTGTGCCTGTCTTCTGGCTGTGAATGTTCTGAGGTGTAGGCACCATTATCCTTAAGAATGCTCTTGTGCCTTGATCTGATTCCTTTTACAAGGCTGTACTGTCCTTAACCTCTTCCTGGAAGAAGAACGGCACTTTTAATGCGTCGTATGTCAAGCACTGTAGCTGCTGCAGGTCGGGAGGTAACTTTGGGAATTGTAGTTTTGTTTAGGGTTAGATACTTACCTGGTGAATACAGGTTTTTGAAGCGTGGAGAATGGAAAAATAGGCTCTGTATTGTCATAAATGAAATTAATCTCTACTGATGTAGGCTACTTAAAAAGTCCCTTTGCTTCCTTTTCTCCACACAGCTCAGGTAGCGAATTAAGTTTTGTTGCGTTTCCTTCATAGGCACTCTTCTAGGTTGCAGCAGTGCCTTCCACCGTTCTCTGTGCTTCTAGAATCGTGTAATAGAGGAAATTTGCAGCAAGTCTTCCCTTCGCACTGCCCTCCACTCCCTGCCCCTTTTCTCCCGTTCCTCCCATATTCAAGTTGCATTTCTTGATCACAGATCAGGATTTAATTAGAATGGTAACAGCGGGTGTCCCCTGATTAGGGTGATTTTTGCTTTCAGTTGACATTGGAGCAAAGCTTTATAAACCATTGGTTTCCACTTAGTCTTATGTAAAATAAGAAAGCTGGATAATCTGAATTTCTCCTTGGGTTTTTTTAGTCTCCTGTAATGCCGTCTTCATGCTTTATTATGTCTGTAGGACTGGAAAGGGAATGTGATCCAGCAGTTAAAGCTCAGGAGTGGAGGGAATCTGTGTTTTAGTTCTGGCTTTGCTGTAGGTGTGCTGCACGACCCTGTACAAGGCATTTGGCTTTTCAATCCAAAAAATAAGGTGGTTCAGGCAGGCATTAAAAAGTAATATTGTGACATGGATATTTGTAATTTGCTTTAGACCTGTATTTGCACTGACAGATATTTGGGTCAGCTTTTCTGCCTTTAGTGTGGTCTGATAGCCTGGCTAAATAATTGCAGCAAATCCTTCCTGACTTTGAAATCTATGGATAATTTATGCAAAAGAGTTCAAGGTGATTCAGATAATGTCAACATTCATACCAGTCCACTTGGCTTATAAGTCACTGTGGCTTAATGTTTCTGCTGGTTTATTTTCTCTCTGTTGGGAAATTTCATGAATAAATGAAAAATCTTTTGAGGGGTTGGGAAAACGTAGGATTACTAATCCCTATACCTCACTTTAACCAAAGAGAACGAATCCCACCAATAACTGTCATTTCATTTCCACAGAGCAGCACAGAGAAGACACAAAAGAGTAAGAACGTGGACTCGTCATATAAACATCTTCAGCAAAGATTTTATCTTTGTGCCTGTGAATGAGGAGTAAGTCTGTACAATTTTAGGCATGTGTTCTGGCATTTAAAATTTCAATATTTGAATGTTCTGGTAATTTAAAGATTTATAGCTGTACACCTGAATCATTAGAAATAAACATATTAGATTTTGAAGATGAAGCAATAGCAAGGAGTGGAATGAGTGATTTTTAAGCCTCTTCAGAAATTGCATTTTGTAATTATAGTTATCTTCAATAAGCTTTACATTTTTTTTCTTAGTTGTACTGAAAATTGTTTTTATGTATTTCAAAATAATTTACGTGTGTCACGGAGATGGTTCCTGTGCACTTAAGTAATGTTTCTGTGGAGAAATCCCAGCAATGCATGGTGTTAGTGGGAAAAAGAGCAGGAGTAGTACTTCCACTGTCTGTGCTTGGTCCTGGTTGAATAGCTGCCCTGCACATGGAAGCTCCAGCAAAGCTGAATAGTCACTGAGAGTTAGGTTTGCAAAACAGCTGTAGATAGAGACTGGGCTTGAGGCATGGTGTACCCTCACCTATATTCAAAACTGGGATCGTTGTCACAGGTTATTTTATTACTTTATTATTTTTTTCAGTGTGGGATCGGTGGTGAGAGGGTGATAAATTGCTTTGGTGGGTTTGGTTTGTTTTTGTTTTGTTTTTAAGAGAATCGGTACTTACCTTTGCAGTTACACCAAGCAAAATGCGAATTACGTATGGATAGGAAGATATGTATGAGAGGCCATGAAGGAACATGGTAATGGTAACAGTGGTTACATATGACAGAACAGTTGTCCATGAGCTCTCAGTGATATAAAAACTTTTCATATGCTTTTCAGAACCAAATGTTCCAATTTTGATGTCCCCTGTTTCCCTCTCCCTCTCCCCCCAAACTGCTGTGCAGGTCTCATTGGTACATTGCGGTCATCTGTTTTCCGTGGCTAGAAGAAGCTGTGTTTGAGGAATGTCCCCATCAGACTTCATTATATCACCAGCTTCAACAATCTCCACTTCAGGCAGAGAAGGAGAGTCAGAGCACTAGAACCAGTTCAGTGTTGGCCTTTCCTGGTAACTGCAAGGATGAAGAAATGGATGCAAACAGAAGTTTATTCTCAAAAGGTAGATAATTTAGAAGAAATTATGTCAAGCCATATACAATTCTGATAGTGTCTTAATCCCTGAAGGAGAGATGTGATGTCTCAGAAAACATCCTGAAATGGAAGATTAGTGTAACATGTTTTTGTGTTACCTTGCGTAGTAAAGACTGGACAGCATTCTTGCTTTCTGCAACTCTTGCAAATTAATGGAAGGGACGTGCAAAATCACTGGCTCAGATCTTGTGGCAGTGGGTGGACTGAGTTCTTTTGAGTACTAATAATCATGAATTTGCAAATAGTTAGAAAATCCTTATCTTCTTACGACTTTCTACGTTTTTTTCTTTTGTTCTAGGTGACAGCCATGATGCTGCAGTTCTGGACTCGGATATTTCTAAAGTAAGTGCCTTTTTGTACTGACAGAGGAGACCTGTATTACTCCGCTTCCTAAGGCTCCAAGCCTTGAACAAATTACTTTGCATCCTCTTTTTTGCAGCAACTGTTCATGTTTGTGCAGCCTGCAGCATATGTGCAGGGCAATTTGAGGTAGCCTGAAGTCCTTCTTTGCTTACCTAAGTTGCTTATGCTATGGTTTCACAGATTTTTAAAAATTTCCTATCAATTTCTCCCTTCCTGAAATAGGAGCCCAACTTGCTTTACCTGTACTCTGTGAAGACTTGTGGATTTTTACTTGCTATAGTTATTTTAAGGTTATTTTTTCTTTCTCTCCTCCCAGAACTCTCTAAGTAATTCCAGAAGGCAAATTTGTAAAAGGTAAGTTTCTATTTTTATGCTAACATTGTATTATTGAAGTGTTTATACTAAGAAATTCGGCGGTAATTGAGTGGGTTATTTGTCACATCTGGCTTATTATAAAGCCACAACTGTAGGGGACTGTCCATTTTTTTCACATTTATGCAGCTATTAATACTCGTGTTAAGCTGCATTCAAACAAAATTTTTACTTAGGTAGTACTGGTAATGAAAGATTAAACTGATTTTTTTGTTGTTGTTGTTGTTTACAGGCCTTGTATACTCATCTTAGATTCTTTAAAGGCTGGCTCCTTGCAGAACACAGTTCAGGTTTTGAGAGAGTAAGTAACTGCAGTTCTCCTTTATTAGAAAGGCTTGCCCTTGGTCAGATTTCAATGTTCAAAATAGTTTTCCTTATAAAGGAGTACGTTTCTATTCCTAAAGGAAAACCTACAAACAACCCCCAAAAAACCCAGCAGTGTGGTAGTTTGGATGACAATACTGTTTTCATTCTGCAGCGTAGCTGTAATGTAAACATTGAAAAGTAGATGTCTTTTTAAAATTGAAAAAAGGTTGAAAAGTAGATTGAGCGTTTTCTAGAGTGTTTTGCTTGGTTTTTTTTATCCCCTCCAATTCACTAATGAAAGTGTTTTTAAGAGCAGAAAATTTGATTCTTTGAAAAGAATGCTTTGAAATTTAAATGATTTAGTTTTCCAAAGTGCTAACCTTCAGTATCCTGATGTCGCTGACAATTTCTGCATTGAATCTGCTCCTACCTATGTGCAAAAGTGCAGTAACTAAACTGAAGCCGTCTAAAAGTTGGATGTGTCAGTATAGTTATATCAGAATGTTAATGTGTGTTTTGAAAAGTGGGAATAGATGTATTTACAGTCTTTGTGATAAGTATTTAAGTATTGGAAGAATGTCCTCAAACTTTCAATACTTGTACACACTGCTAATGACTTTGACTTCTATCAAAAACTTTTAACAAAGTTAACGATACTAAGTAGTTGAAGCTAAAATGAGTTGTTCTTTTTGTCCCTTGTTGCATTCACTTCACTGAAAGGAACAAAAAATCTAGATCTTGGAAAAGTAAATTCATTATAATACTATGTTAGGAGTGGATGTGAACTGGTAAATTTTGTGACGCCATCTTTTCCCTAGACAGAGAGGCCGCCTGGCATATCTGTCTTGGGAGAAAGAAAGAGGTAGCAATTTTTTTTTTTTTTTTAATGTCTCTGTGGGATATATTAGCATAGTGTTCTACACTTTGAGCTACTCCAGAGGATGAAATTCCAGAGAGGGTAGTTTCCTGGAATTCATCAGAGAGATGTCATGAAAAGTCAGAAAACCAAGAGGTGACTCATGGAGGCCTGAGATCAGTGAACTTTGGGAAGCAGACCTTGTATCCCTTCAGTGTCAGGGAGAGAAACATCACCATGCAGTTATACCCTGAAAGTAGCAATCTGAGGAAACTCTGATACAGGGGTTCCATAACCTCTTTTTTCCTTAAGCCAATTTTCTTTGGCTTTTGAGCAGAGGTCAGGCCCAAATGAATTAATTTTCAAGTCAAAGAGCATTCATATAGGAAGTGTGCTTCACTGATCTCTCTTTATCTTGAATTCGATTTCATGTTTGTCTTCTATTCACAAGTGTCCTTTTTCTCAGAAGCTGTTTTGGGTGTTACATATGTATTTTTATTCTCAGAATTACAAGGACTTGGGGCTTGTGGAAATCAAACAGAATGTCTGACTTGTGTATTTTTATTCTCTAAAGTTAGGCCTTGTGTGTGTGTGTATATGTTGGTTTTTTTCTTTTTTCTTTTTCCACAAGCCTTAAGCTTTTACTTTTGAAAATCAGACCCTTATGCCTTCAGTCATAGTTTCAAAATCAGTGGCCGCTTTAGAATCAGTGTGCTTCTACTGAAGCAAGAAAACAGTAGAAAAGCCTGATACCGGATGCATCATAATGATATAGAAGTGATCCGTAAGGTTGTAAGTCTTTACCTACCTTATACACTGTTAAACTGCAAGGGTTGTATTGTATGATTGTAACTGAAGTCTTTCCGAAGATGAATTCTGATAGTTGTTTATTACAGTTTGCTTAGGGTGAAAAAGCACTGCGGGCTTTCTCAGGAGGAACCCAGGAAAAACGTGTGTGATAGTCATGAAGGATTACTTAAGTTCCTCCTTTAGCTCAGGTTTTAAAAAAGTGTCCTAACAGCTTGAGGAAACTCCGTGCATTGACTTTTTTTATTTTTTTTAAATGAAGTCATGTATTTTTTCCTATTTTGTATACTACATACGTTATATGGGAGAGGTACATCTTGATCTAATAAAATTTGGGAATTTTAGGTAGTTGAAATTGTGTTATTTCCTTATAGGAATTTATTTGACAGATTCTGTGAAGGAAGTTGGTTAAGGCATTGTGGCCAGTTCCAGAACAATACTGAGTAATACCCCAAAATGCACTGAGCTGGGGAGTTACTTCTCAAGTACTTAATCTGTTTGCTTTCCTTTACAGGTACCTGGAAGCAGAATGGGAAGCTAAACGAAAAACACACCGGGAATTCAGTAAATCAACCATGGTTGACTTCTGTCCCAGAGTGCCTAAACAGGATAACAGCAGTGACTGTGGGGTATATTTGCTGCAGTATGTGGAAAGCTTCTTCCAGGTAAAAATGGAAACTACACCCCCCACCCCCACCTCCAGCAACCCCAAATCTTATTTCTGAGTGAAATGCCCAAACAGAAAAGCCCATTATCCTCAGACGGTGTAAACATCAAAGCCACTTGTGAAAAAGATGAGATCCATTCTTCATGTAGTGGCAGGGCTCTTTGTGCCTGGAGCACAGGCTTTTTCTGCTCTGCATTTCCTAGGCAGACGTTTCTGGCCTTGTGATTTAATGATGCTTGTATGTTGACACATTGAAGGCCCTGAACTATGTGCGTGTACTTGACGCCCATGTACTTTACATGTTTCTGGCCTACAAATGGTACAAAGGCACTTTTTCCATGCCGGTCCTCTCTTCTTGTAGCCACTAAAAGTTTACTCAGCTCGTTCATTGGCCTTTGTGTGGTTTTGTATGTGCAGGTGGCAGCCTCTGCAAAGAGAGGGAGGGGGAGATCTTTCACAGGGAATGCACAGGGCTGAGGGAGTCTTTCTTTCCTTCCTGTCCAGCACATCGCCTTAAACGTCTGCAGCTGCTGGGTTTCAGACACTGTCTTTAGAATCTCCCCAATTCTCCCTCACTCTGATGAGTGCTCTTGCACTACTCTGGGCTTTGTTTGCCTGATGCTCATACGTGTTATCCACACTGAGTCCTTTGCATGGAAAGCCTTATGTGGGGCCTTGGCCAATTGACAGATTCTTCTATAGTAGAAAATAAGAGTTGAGCTCTTGTGTAGGTGGAAAATGAAATTATTTACCAGTGCTTCTGAACTGACCATTTTTTAAGATGGTCACGTTCTACTTGCAGAAGCAAGGCCGGAATGAGGTGGATGTAGTTTGTCCTTAACATCCTTAGTGATCGTAGACCACAGTTCATGATGTGGTTTCTCACTTTGCTTTTTCAACTTACCATACGCTTCTTATTTGTGGGAAGGAGAAGGTGAAATGTAAGCATTGCAAAAGAATAAAGAGGGGAAAAAGGCAAAAAAAATGGACTTAGGCAACTGAGATGTGGTGTAGTCTTATTGACAGAGTTGGCAGCGTGTCTCGGCTATTTCATTTGCTGTCCTGCGTTGTCCTGAATTGTCCCCCTCTTGTTTCCTGAAAAAAAAACCCTCTTGTTTCCTTCTGACCTTTGTGGGAATGTTCTTGCTTTTTTGCTCTCTCCTATCAGACAGACCAGCTTGTATCATAAAAAAGCGGTGCCTGAGGCTACAAAACTTCTTATGCTTAATTACTGTATGCCTGATCCTTCCTTACAGTGTGAGCATACATATGTGTTTTGTCACCAAAGTGTATCTGTCCCATTACGTAGCAGGATCATGTCTAATTTTATCACACAGTATGTGGACTGTGCTTTGAATATATGCTTATACTGATGCATCTCTCAGGGAAATGGCGATAGCTTGTCTTGCTTTTACCATGCGTAGCCCATGGTAAGCATATGTATACATGTGATTACCCTGGAGGAACTGGATTTGAGTTTGCAGCCTGTCACTGTGTCTCGTGGTGACTTGTTTGTGCATTTG